GATGCTGAGAATCATATCCAAACTTTGGGCAGAGTGCAGGGAATCTTAGGAAAGAGGAGGGAAACAGAAAGACAAGGAGAGCAACAGAACGAAAAAAATCTGGGCATAGGGTCTTTTCTGAGACTGATACTCCAACCAAGGACCATGCATGGAGATAACCTAGAAGACCTTCACAGATGTAGCCCATGGCAGCTCAGAGTCCAAGTTAGTTCCCTAGTAATGGAAACAGGGGCTGTCTCTGACATGAACTCAGTGGATAGTTCTTTGATGACCTTCCCCTGAGGGTTGGTGGCATTCTTACCAGGCCACAGAAGAAGACACAGTTAGTCCTGATGGACCTGATAGGCTAGGGTCAGATGGAAGGGGAGGAGGACCTTCCCTACCAATGGACTGGGGGAGGGGCATGGGAGGAGAAGAGGAAGGGAGGGCAGGCTTTTGGGAGTAGATGAAGGAGGGGGCTACAGCTGGGATAAAAGTAAATAAATTGTAATAAATTAAAAAATAAATTAAAAAAATTAGATTTGTGGAGTTTTTTGTTGTTTGGAGTAAAATCTAAGTTTCCAAACTTAAAAGAACTTTAAAAATGTAATTATTTTGTGGTGGTTTGGCTGAGATGTCCCCTTACATTTCAGACATTTGAATATTTGATCCCCAGTTGGTGGCTGTTTGGGAAGGATTATGAGGTGTGAGCTTTGAGCTTCCCCTTTCCCCAGAGTGCTCTCTGCTTCCTGTTTATAGACCTGAAGGGACTGTCTCAGCAGTTGCTCCAGCACCATGCTTGCCTGCCTGCTACCATGCTCCCAGCCATGACGAATGCTGGGCTCAGATCCCTCTGGAACTGTAAGCCCCACTGAACTATCTCCTTCTATAAGTTGCCATGCTCATGGTGTTTTATAACAGCAATAGCAAAATAACCGATATTCACTTATTACTTGCTTAACTGTATCATAGTTATGTAATTGTATGTGGTTATAAATTTGGTATTTCTGAGAGTTTATCACTCTGCTTTCTGAAAGAACAGAATGTGGCTGGCTGCCTCCCCTTCTTGCTGCTATGCCTTCCCTACTACAATGTGTTGTGGCCCTCTGTGAATCAAATTAAACCCTCTCGTCACAAAAGAAAGAAAAGAAATTTCACTTAAAGTGAATTTGAATTAAAAGTGAACTATTTTTCAAAATTTCTAAAACAATTTTAATCATTTTCTCTATTCCTTTTAAGTCCTTTCTAACTTCTACGTATATACTGTATAATTTTGTTGTGTTAAAATCTTCAATTACTAATCATGAATTTGTCAATCCACATTTGCCTTCTGTCTCTCCAGACCATGTTTGGGGAGGGGGCTGCCTTAGCTAAACATGGGCCCCAGTTCAGGAGCTGAGGTCCTAGTGTACAGGCACATGTGTCATTAAAATTCATTAAGCCACGTAGTCAATCTGTGGCCTGTGGTAGTATTGTCCATGCACATTTATTCTTCTCTAGCTTTTTTGGGGGGGGCAGTGAAGGTGGGGGTACAGGTCTCCTCATGTAGCCTGGCTGGTTGGCTGGCTGGCCAGGAACACACTGACATCCACCTGCCTCCTGTTCTTCCTTAGTTCTGAGATTATGTTCCACTGTATCTAAGCACTTCTATTTTTATTGACTCTTGAAAGAAGCGATTAACATGAAAAAAACAACACCCACTGTGCATGGATGTTGGTTTCACACAACATATGTACACTCATGTTTTGAGCTGTACTGTTCCCCTAAATAGCTGACATTTCTATTACTGTGAAGTGACTGTCTCTAGAGCCCTTCAGTATCAACTCCTTAACCTTCACTGTGACATCGTCATTTCCAGTCCCATCTTACTCACTCTCCCACAAGGCATGCTCTTGCTCTTCTTCAGACACAGCTGAAGTTCCTTTCTCACAGCCCCTTCACATGACCTTCTTCTGGAATATTTGCCCAGGGCCTGCATGACCCTGTTACCTTATTTTGTTCAGTTCACTGCTTAAAGAGACATTAAAAGGTCTCTCTCTTTCCCATTCTCAGAGAGACCTTTCCTAACCAACCTGGACATTCACCCTCTGTTAAACATGGTGATATACCCAAGACCCTCAGGGATTGCCTACAGCTGCAGGCTGTACTGAGGATAAGTGTATGGCACCAGAATACTGCCAGCTGGTCCACGAGCTAGCCTGTCTTCTGTCTCCATCTGTTGTGTCACTGTTCTTGAACATGGCTGCCATTATTAACAGAAACACCCCCAGTCCCTCTCATTCCCTCTGAAACCAAGACAGTCAAGCCACTAATTGGCAGATGGTGTAGACAGTATGGACCTATTGAACGATGGTTTACGTGTCCTGTAGAGCCAAATGGGACAATGTGAGTTCCATCACGCTGGTCAGAGCAGTGTGTAGTGTAAATGTTATTTGTTTCTGTAATTTGTCATTTAATATTTTTGATCAGTTAATGCCAGGGACATGAAGCCATGGAAAGCAAAACTTAGAATAAAGGGAGATGGCTGTATAAAGATAGCATACTCCTCTACTTCTCTGCCCTCCTAGTATGGTTATGGTCTAGAGTTTGGATGGCACCCTCTGGGATTTCCAGGTTCTTGGTGTCTTAAAACAAAGAATTAGAGGTTAAACTTGGCATCATTTCTCAGGTGCCATTGCTGTTGGTCAAGTAGGCTAGGCTGGCTGGCTTGCCTACCTCAAGGATTTCTCTGTTTCCAACTCCCCAGAGCTAGAACTGTAAGAACAGGTCACTGAGCTCAGACAGTTTTGGGTTCTTAAATGTAAGTGATGGGAATGAACTCAGAATCCCATGCTTGTAAAGCAAGCACTTAATGACTAAGCCACTTCTCTGACCTCCTGAAACAATCTTTGAAAATGAAAACTCTTCCCAGTTTTATCTACTCTAGTAGAGTTTTCTCCAAGCCATCCTCTAACCTGCAGTTCTCTAGCCTCCTCTGAATGTCCACTGTACATGTGGTCTCACCTTTTTGGACATAATAAAACATATTTCTCTGGCTAAGATCAGAAACTCAAGTGACAACACATGCTGGAGAGGATGTGGAGAAAGAGGAACCCTCCTCCATTGCTGGTGGGAATGTAAACTTGTACAACAACTTTAGAAATCAATCTGGCGCTTTCTCAGACAATTAGGATTAGTGCTTTCTCAAAATCCAGCTATACCACTCCTAGGCATATATCCAAAAGATGCCCAAGTATACAACAAGGACATTTGCTCAACCATGTTCATAGCAGCTTTATTTGTAATAGCCAGAATCTGGAAACAACCCAGATGTCCCTCAATTGAGGAATGGATAAAAAAATTTGTGGTACATTTACACAATGGAATACTACTCAGCAATTAAAAACATGGAAATCATGAAATTTGGAGGTAAATGGTGGGAACTGGAGAAGAGCATCCTGAGTGAGGTATCCCAGAAGCAGAAAGTCACACACATGGTTTATAGTCATTTATAAGTGGATATTCGACATATGATATAGGATAATCATACTAATATCTATATATCTAAAGAAGCTAAGGAAGAAGGAGGACCCTGGGTAAGATGTTCAGTCCTAACTCAGAAAGGCAAATGGGATAGATATCGGAAGAGGGTGAAAACAAGGAACAAGACAGGAGCCTACCCACAGAGAGCCTCTGAAAGACTCTGCCCAGCAGGGTATCAAAGCAGATGCTAAGAATCATAGCCAAACTTTGGGCAGAGTGCAGGGAATCTTAGGAAAGAAGGAGGAGACAGAAAGACCTGGAAGGGACTGGAGCTCCACAAGGAGAGCAACAGAACCAAAAAAAATAAAATAAAATAAAAATCTGGGCACAGGGGTATTTTTTGAGACTGATATTCCAACCAAGGACCATGCATGGAGATAACCTAGAAGACCTTCACAGATGTAGCCCATAGCAGCTCAGAGTCCAAGTTGGTTCCCTAGTAATGGGAACAGGGGCTGTCTCTGACATGAACTCAGTGGATAGCTCTTTGATCATCTTCCCCTGAGGTTGGGAACAGCCTTACCAGGCCACAGAGGAAGACAATGCAGACAGTCCTGATGAGACGTGATAGGTTAGGGTCAGATGGAAGGAGAGACTGAGCTCCCCTATCAGTGGACTGGGGAAGGGGCATGGGAGGAGAAAAGGGAGGGAGGGCGGGATTGGGAAGGGAGAAGGGAGGTGGCTACAGCTGGAATACAAAGTGAATAAATTGCAATAAATAAAAAAATTTAAAAACATAGTTCTCATTTCCCTCAATGCAACTTAAGGTACCAAGCACATAGAAAATATTCAATGAATACTCACTGCATCCAGCTTGCATTGGAATTGAATATTTTCCTCCAGGGACTGTGCTGGCTAGTTTTATGTCAACTTGACAAAACTGAGAATAATCAGAGGAGGGAGTCTCAACTGAGAAAATGAGCCCCCCTCATAAAGGATGTAGGCAAACCTGTAGAACATTTTCTTAATTAGCAACTGATGTAAGAGCTTAGCCCATTGTGAATAGTGCCACCTCTAGGCTGGTGATCCTGGACTCTATAAGAGAACAGACTGAGCAAGCCATGAGAACAAGCCAGTAAGCAGCACTCCTGCAGACTGACTGCCGTTTTGTTTGAGTTCCTGTCCTGACTTCCATTAGTGATGGACTATGATGTGGAAGTGTAAACCAAATAAACACTTTCCTCCCCAAGTTGCATTTGGTCTTTTTCTCTCTTTTTTTCCTTTTTTTAATCCTTCCTTCCTTCCTTCCTTCCTTCTTCCTTCTTCCTTCTTCCTTCTTTCTTGCTATTTTGAGACAGGGCTGCTCTGTGTCATCATGGCTGTCCTGGAACTCACTCTGTAGACCAGGCTGGCCTCAAACTCAAGAGATCCGCCTGCCTCTGCCTCCCAAGTGCTGGGATTACAAGTGTGAGCCACCACCACCCAGCTCCATCATGTTTTTCATCACAGCAACAGTATCTCTAAGACAAGGACTGACTCTAGTCTGCTCTTGCTTACAGGGGACATCCTGGTGTTCTTGGATAGCCACTGCGAGGTGAACATAGTCTGGCTGGAGCCCCTGCTACATGCCATTTCTACAGACCACAAAATGGTGGTGTGCCCTGTGATCGATGTCATTGATGACTTGACCCTGGATTATAAGGCGGCTCCTGTTGTAAGGGGAGCTTTTGACTGGAGCCTGAGTTTTAGATGGGACAATGCTTTCTCAAGTGAGATGGACGACGACCCAGAAGGACCAATCAAACCCATCCGGTAAGATTCTTCTTGTTTGGGGGACTATAGTGAAAAAAAAAAAAATCAATGTTTTATTTTGCCACTGTTTTCTCTCTTTCTATTTATTTCCTCTCTTCATTTTTCTTCTTTTTTTTGAGACAGGGTCTCTCAAAATAGGCCTGACTGTCCTGGAACACTTTATACCAGGCTGGCCTCAAACTTACAGAAATCTGCCTGCCTCTGCCTCCTGAGTGCTGGGATTACAGGTGTGTACCACTATGCTCAGCTTGCTTGTTTCCTAAAGTGCTGAATACCAGAATTTGGTAGATGCTAAATTTGTTCAAGTGACACTGTCCCTTGTGCTCCACCATATTCAGGAAGCTACCATAGCTGTTTAATGCTATCCTGATTTTCAATGACCACTGAGAGAGTGTAGAGAAATTTTAATCCACCACATGGCTGCTCTGCCAGGGGATCACATCCAAAGATGTTCTAGGTAATCCAGCTGGCATACAGACACTCTGGAACACAGTATGATCTGGCTGGAATACAGACATGACCTTATTATACACCCTTAATCCCAAGTAATGAAGGCAAGGTTAGTTTATAGAAGAAAGCAGCCATGTTTGAAAGTGACATCTAATTGAGAGGCAGACGAAGTGACAAATCAGAGAAAGATTTGACAGAAGGAGTCAGATATAGGACATGGCCAACTCTCATGAGAATAGGACAAGGAAGAGGGGACACTTAAGAACAGTGCAGACAGAGAAAGGCATTTCTTACCAGGACAGTTTTACAGAGACAGGTGGCAAGAGAACAAGCTAGACACAGATGAGGACACAGTGAGCCAGAGAATGAGGAGCCAGATTAAAACATTTTGTCAGAATTAGTTTGAGGCCAGGTAAAGCAATTCGGTCAAAAGTCAAGAGAAGCCAGTTTGAGTCAGTCAGCTTGGAGAGGTGTTTTGGCCAGAAAAGCCGAGTTGAACTACCCAGGCAAGGTTCAGAAACAGCAAGAAAGGCTTAGGAATGGCTCTCATCCCCTCATCTGATGAAATAAAAACATTTATAGTATGTATGTGTTTATATGAAGTGTGCTCACACATCTTTGTGTGCATGTGGAAATAAATCTTGAGTGTGATCCTCAGGAGCTGTCTGGCCAAACCTGGATATGCTACTCTTGAGAGGCAGTCTTGACTCAAAATTCAAGGATGAAATTAAAACAATGTAGGAAGTAGAAGGGAGAGTTGTGAAATTACATAGTAGTTCATGGAAGAACCCTCTGGAATATTACATAGTTCTAAAATGTTGACCATGTAGAATCAGCCATCTTCCTGAGCACTTCACTGCCCACTTCCCACCTGAAACTGCTCAGCCCCAGCATGCCTATTCTCAACAGAGACTTCACATTACACCTGCCTATTTCTCTGACTGTCCCCAGAGATTAGGCTTTCTCAGCCTATGAGGTTGGGCCCACAAAAAAGGAGATCAGCTGCTAGCTCCCTCTTCCACCCACTCTGATGGTACTGAGGATAGACAAGATCCCTGCTCTTGGATGTGCACAAGCTAGGACTGGGAGCCCTGTCGTCAGTGTCCATCTGTCATCAATGTCCACCTGACATCAGTGTCCCTCTCTGAAACTGGTGCAACATGTATACCCTGTGTGCCCTTCAAATGCACGAGACTCTTCACAGTTGCTTTTTAAATACTTTTATTTGTGAGGGCAGCAAGCAGACTCAGCAAGAAAAGGCACTTTCCAATCTGGAAATCCAACTTTGATTCCCAGGACCCACATGGAAGACTGACTCCTGCAGGTTGTCATCTGGCTTTCACTCACACATACCATAGAACATACAAATACCCATACACATACTGTTTTGCATCTATACAACTTTAAAACTTTCTTCTCTGTCATGTTAACTATATGTACACAAAATAAATTAATGTTAAAAATATTCCTATGAACTTAACGTGATCTAAGAAGACAAGCCCTCTGAGTGTGCCTAGGAAGAGGTTTCTTGACTGTTAATCGAGGTAAAAAGCGCCTCTACAAGTGTGACTGGTACCATTCCACGGGCTGGGCCCTGGACTGACTAACAGCAGGAAGCTAGCTGAGCACCAGTATCTTCCTCTACTTCATGGAGGTGCAATGTGACCACAGCCTCGCACTCCTGTCACCATGACGTCCTGTCACCCTGGACCTGTGAGCTAAATTAACCCTTTCTAAGTTGCTCTTGCCCAGTATTTTGTCACACTGCACTTGCTGCCTGATTGGCCTTCCCATAGGGGTGCTAAATGCATACCTCACATTGGTCTGAACATTAAGCTTCCTATGAAACCAGGACTTCCCATCTCTGTGGGCAGCAACTCTGTCTGCAATGTGGAGTACCCTAAGTATCAACCTAGATTCCTGTCATCTTCCAATATCCCTGTCCTACTCATCAGCAAATCTGTTACGTCCATCTTCAAGCTCAACCAGTCACCAGACATCTTGTCTACACTCATCATTATTACTTTATTGTTACATTATTACTCATCATTATTACCCTTGGCAAGGGCACAATCCCCATACATCATTTTTTCTCCAAAATTACTGTGATTTCTTCAAACTTCAAGCAGTTAGGAGGCAGAGATAGGCAGATCTCTGTGAGGTCCAAGCTAGCCTAATGTACAGTGAAACATTGTCTCAAAAAAAAAAAAAAAAAAAAAAAAGGTGGTAAAAGGAGCCAAGTAGTATAGGTTCTCTGCTTGCTGATTATGGAAATGTGGATGTAATGTGACTAGCTCCTTCAGGCTCCCTCTGCTTTAACTTCCTCTCCTCACCACAATGGACTGTATTCTTCATAGGGAGTGAGTTAAAGTCCTGAGTGAGTGTGTACTGCTGATATGGGCACACCTATGCCAAAGACTCCAAAGCCTCAGCCATGGGAGTGGCAAAGCCTTTTCCCTCCCCCATGGGCTTAGAAGGATGGAAAAGTCTTCCTCAGGTCCCAGTGTGAATATTGACTGTGCAGAAAATGTCTACCATAGCCCTTGCTCCATGTCTAAGGCCTGAAGACTGCTCCCCTACAGAGACTGTTCCAACTGAGAGATTAGTTAAACCTGTGTCCTTTTCAGCTTTGTATAATAACCCCACCTCACTGTCCAATTATAAACAATAAGCATACTGAGCTTCCAGAGCTTCTCTATCAAAGCTACCAAAGACCGCCAGATCCCAGCTTTTCTGGGTCAATGCACCTGTGTGTCTGTCCATTCTTTCTTCATTCTCTTGTCAACCCTTGTCAGAGTTCCAGGACCCGGGCCATGCAAGGATGCAGAACCTCCCTTATGTTGCTTTGTCACAGTACTTTATCACAGCCACAAGTAACCAATATAAGTAACCCCATTTTTTTGTTTTGTTTTGTTTAGTTTCGTTTGAGGCAGGGTTTCCCTGTGTATCCTTGGTTGTCCTGTACTCATTTTGTAGATCAGCCTGGCCTTGAATTCACAGAGATATGCCTGCCTCAGCCTCTCAGAGTGCTGGGACTATAGGCATGTGCCAAAATGCTCAGCTTTGTAATATCATCTTTTGCCATATAACAAAGTCAAAACAAATTTGATATAAATGTAAAACCCAAAATTAGAATGCTACTAGTTGAGAACATATGCTATGACATTCAACTACTCAAAGATTTGGTGACTATGGATCTGAAGAGCACAGGGCATAAAAGTAAACATGGAGGGTGGAGCTGCAGCAGATTGAAAGCCCTTGCAGAGTGAAGGAAAAGTCAGCGAAGCAGAGAGGACACAGGATGCAAGGAATGCCTGCAGTTGTATGTCTGATAAGGATTAATACCCAGAGCAGCAACTCTGTCTGCAATGTGGAGAACAATAAGTATAAGATACTCAAAAATAGCAAGAAAAAGTTAAAAAATTAGTCAAAAGACATGAATACACATTTTTCAAGATAAAAATAGAAATGGCCAATGGTATGTGAAAATGTCTCGGTATCCCTTCATTATCAAAGGATGTAAATCCAAGCCCCGTTGAGCTCTGGCTCACTCCACTAAGACAGCAAAGTCTTGTCTTCTGTGGAAACGAATGTAGCTAGACACTAGAAAATAGTATCACAGTTCTTTCAAAATTAAAAGTAGAATCACCTTATGGCCCAGCAATCCCATCACTGACAATATGCCTAAAGGAATGAAGTCAGTATGTTTAAGAGACTCTCATTCTTACTCTAGCATGAATAATATCCATGAATCAACCTGCCTCTTACAGTTGAATGGATAAGAAAATGTAGTACATGGACAAAGGGGAATAATGTTCAGCCAATAAAATATGAAATCTCGCCATCTGTAAAAATACATGGATGAACTTAGAGGCCATTATGCTAACTGAAATGAGCCAGTCATAGACAGACAGGCACCACACCATCTCACACAAGTGGAATCCAAGAGTTGATCTCCTGGAAGTGCAGAGTGAAATGGTGGCTACAGGAAACACAGAGGCCAGAAGAGAGCAGCAGATCACCTGGAGCCTGAGTTACAGGTGGCTGTGAGTTGTCTGGCCTGGGTGCTGAGACCCAAACAGGTCCTCTGAAAAAGCAGTAAATGTTCTTAATCAATGAGCCAACAGTAACACTTTATATGTTTTTAGAAGAATTAGTATCACTATCTCTCTGGAATTTAATGTTTTTTACTCCTTTCTAGGTCACCTGCAATGGCAGGAGGAATTTTTGCTATAAACAGACATTATTTTAACGAACTCGGGCAATATGACAAGGGGATGGATCTTTGGGGAGGAGAAAATGTGGAGCTTTCACTAAGAGTAAGTCAGACTTCCTTTTGTTTTGTTTCCCCCGCATAGTTACATTTGTACAGAGAGAGTGAAAGCTGATGTTTCATTTTGTTGAGGTGAATAGAATCCAGTTTGTGCCTACTTGGGCCACAGCCCTTACCTACCCTGAGCAAGAGTGCAATCTGACTTTTCTCCATGAACATGCAAGACTGTTCTGGTGACACATACAAGGGCATGCAACAGATGATTGGGCTCCCTGAAAACACTGGATGGGCCATTAAAGTCCCTGACCATATGCTTTGTTATTTTCAAAACATGGTTAAAAAAAAAAAAAACTGATAAGAAAATGAAATCTGTGGGTTCTTTTCTCATTGTCTTGATTGTTATACTTCCCCCTTTTTTCTGTTTTAGATTTTATTTCCTCTTTTCTTTCTTCCTTTCTTTTTATTTCTCTTCTTTCTCCTTCCTTCCTTCTTTCTGATAGCTGGCCATTTCAGTCACTAAAAGACCAGGTCTTGCCTGCCTTATTTCAAAAAGTTTCTCACTAGCCTGGAATTTGTTGGTTAGGCCAGGCTGGCTTAGGAACACTCCCATCTTTGCCTCCTTGGTGCTGGTATTACAGGCATGCACCGCCACACCCGCTGTTCTTCTTTTTTTTATTTTACTTTTTTTTTTTTCTTCAGGCTAAGCATTCAGAGGAGAGTACCTCCTGCCTTTTCTTCCTGCAGCAGTGTCTACTGAGAACTGCATTAGTTACTTTCCCCACCCTGTGACAAAACACCTGACAAAAGCAGCTTAGTGAGGGTTTATTTGGGCTCACAGTTTGAGGAGTCCATCACAGTGGGGAAGAACTTCCCGTGGTTCGTCACACTGCATTCATGTCAGAAAGCAGGGAGATGGAAACCTGCAAAGCACACTTTCTGCTTTCTCTGCTGTGAGGACACCAGTCCATGGGCTGCTGCTACCCCGTTAGCGAGGGTCTTTCTACCTCACTGAATCCAATCTGGACGCTTCACCCACTGACACGCCCCACGTTTGTCTCCTGGCCAATTTTAGATCCTGCTAAGTTGGCAACCAAATTAACCATCACAAGGACAGAGGACAGTGTTACAATAGAGCAGTACAATGTGAAAGTAACTTCTGACGTTATGGTCTTCCATTCTATCAGGGTACAATTATTTAATTTTATTTTTGATAAACACAGTGGAGAAACACAGTACTCTGTGGTCATGTAAAAGGCAAACGGAGACATTTTTTCATTGAGGTGGCTTCCACAACCCTCCTGAAGAAGCCCTTGAGGTGTACAGGATTAAATGTGTGGTTTGTTGGACAGGTTCTTATGCCTAACTCATACTACTGAAGCATTTTACAGACACTTCACTCACTTAATCCCCACAGACCTGTGGGATGGCTACTGCCATTATCTTTTACTTTTAATGAGAAAACAAACACAGAGAACTTATATTACTTCCCAAGTTCACAAAAACAGGAAGTACTTTGTTTCAAACCTACTGATTCCTGCTTCACATAGAGACCTACTTTCCAGTCTTGGGGCCCTTCTGGCACGTCTCTACGGTTTCTTAGTCAATTCTAGCACGCATATGTGTGAGAGAAGCCTCCAATGCCCTGAGTTTGCTTTGGTTGCTGAGTTCCATGGCTGCCATGGATCATGAAGAGGAATAGCTCACTAGATATTCATACAGCTATGCTTTACAACCAGCCTTTGAATGGTTCCCAAACCAGGTTCAGATTTTTGTGGTTTAACAATCCTGGTTAGCATCCAACAGGCCTTGACCACCTGAAGTCTCAGCTTGCCCATTTTCTAGTACCTGGTATCCCTCCATACTGCCAAGGTGTACTATTCTGAAAACGGAAACACCTTGACTTCTGCTCTTAGAGATGACCACTTAGGGAATTCCAGTTCCTAGCCTCACCCCAAGACTGAACTTGTTTTAGGCTAGCCTTGAACTCAGGGATCCACCTGTCTCTGCCTCCCATGTGTTGGGATTAAAGGCATGCACCTCCATGTCTGGTTTAAGACTGTACCTCTTTAGATATAGATGCCAGCTTAAATCCTACTCAAGATCACTAAAGCCTGTTGGGTGCTCTGATATGAAAACAAACCATATATCCACTACAGAGTTCTCACACATTGACATAATGGAAGTTTAGGTAGATTTCCAATACTTTCCTCCTACGTGAGCCAAGTATTTCCAATACTTTCCATCCACTGAGTCAATGGGTTACTCTTCTTGGTTCATCTGCTCTGAATTTTAATTGCTAAGGGTATTAGGAATAAGTCAGTTAGCATCTCAGTGGTTAGTCTGTGTAACAAAGTAACTCAAAGAGAAATGGCATAAAATAGTAATACTTACCTTTCTCTTGCATCTGTCCAGGGTGGCGGGAGTAACTCAGCAGAGGCTGACTGGGTTGGCTTTTAGTTTCTGGTTTTAGTTGAGGTCTGGCATCATTTCCACGAGTAGCTGCCACATGGAACATGTTCTTCTCACACTGAATGGCGGGAAGATAAAAGTCAAGCCATGGCACATGGCATATTCCAGCTTCTGTAGTCATGATGTGGACTGACATTCTCTTGGCCAAAGCCTGTGAAACACAAGTCCAGAATCAATGTGTTCTCAGACCCAAGATAAGGAAAGGGAAGTGAGCAAATGTTTACTGACCAGAATTTGAATCTGTCATTCTAGGTTTGTGAAATAAACTAAGTCAACGTAAAACTGATTTACATGAAACCCATGTTAGCAGAGCAGTGGTGCCTCATCAGTTCATTTTTGTCAGTAAATTTTAATTGATGTGAAAAACTGCCTCAAAATGCAGTAGCTTCAAACTATAAGCCATCATTATTCCTCTCAATTCCTGGTGTTACTGTAGCAATGCTAGTGTTGGCTAGAATGTCTGATTTCTACAGATGTTGCTGCCTCTGTGTTCACCATCTAGAATGCCTTTTGCTGTATGACTGTCTCAGTACCATCTGGGCAATGAGAACCACTTGCCCATTTGTCAAGAAGGCTGCTCAGGCTCACTGACACTGAAGAGGTCAAAGAGAAAAAAGTTACAAGAGGGATCAATGTCTAGGAAGCTGCAAGTACTTTTCAAGTATCATGCACTCTGGGCAAGCACTCTCCCAACTGCTTTCTTTTCATCCCTAGTCCTGTCTTTTGTTTACTCTAGATTTGCTCCTAAAGGGGACACATGAATTTGGATATGCCCTATCCTGTGATCACTATCTCTGTAGAGATGGCTACAACTCTTTCTCTATCAGGGATAAAGGGTATCTGTGGCCAGCCTAGTGATGTGGTTAAGCTGGTAGAGTGTTTGCCTAGCATGTACAAAGTCTTGGGTTCAACACCCAACCCCACATAAAACCAGGCATGGTAACCTCTGGAACCTCCCTGAACCTCTGGAAGGAGAAGCAGAAGTACAAGCTCATCGTACCTATACTGTAAGTCTGAGGACAGCCTTGGCTACATGATCCTATCTCAAAACAACAAAATAAAAGAATAAACAAGCAGCTATCTGGGACCTACGAAAATTGGATTAAAATCTACTGCTTTCTCCACAAACTTTTTAAAGGAAATTTTTAGTTTTATTACCTACTTTTTTATAAGTTGAATTATGTATATTGTTCTATGAATAATGGCCATAGCCTCTTAAAACCAATGAACATCTCAAAAAACAAACTAAAAAGGGGCTGGAGTGATGGCTCAGCAGTTAAAGAGTGCTGGCTTTCAATTCCCAGAACCCACTTGGCAGCTCACTGTAATTCCAGTTCCTGGGTATCCAATTCCCTCTTTCAGCCTTTACAGATACAAACACATATGCAAACGAAATATCCAGATATAAATATTATATTTATACATTAACAATGTATTGGCTTTTCAAATTTCTTTTTTCTTTCTTTTCTTTCTCTCTTTTTCTTTCTCTCTTTTTCTTTCTTTCTTTCTTTCTTTCTTTCTTTCTTTCTTTCTTTCTTTCTTTCTTTTTCTTTCTTTCTTTCTTTTTCTTTTTTTGAGACAGGGTTTCTCTGTGTAGCCTTGGCTGTCCTGGCCTCACTTTGTAGAACAGGCTGGCCTTGTATTGGGATTAAAGGCATGTGCCACCATACCTGGTTTTTAAATTTCTCCAGTTTTTCTTTTAAAAAGCAAATGAAACATAAATCTTTTCTGACAGCTTTTGTGGCATGATGATGCATCCAGAACAGATGTATATATCAACAACTATTTAGTTCATAATTTCCAATGAAAATGAGATCCAAACAGGACACAAACAACCATACCATTGGATAGGCCAATGAAGGACCCAATTGTTTGGACTTTTGGCCTAAGGCATTTTTTCTGTGTCTCCAGGCTGAACTTAAATGTCATTTTTAGTCAAGACAACCTTGAACTTGTGATCTCCTTACCTCTACAATTCCTGGTGCAGGAATTGTGGACCACCAAGGTAGTACTGGGGGATGAGCCCAGGACTTTGAGAGAGACAGACAAACACCGTACCAATGGAAACATATCCCAAGCCCCACACTATGTTTTAATGAATAGCTACCTTACCATTACTGCTTTCTAATGATTAAGTGAATTTCCTCAGATAAAATATCTACAAAATCAGAATTTATGGTCTTGATGAGTTGTAACAGAAAATCCTCAACCTGGTGTTGTGGTGCACACCTGTAATCCCAGCACTCAGGGAGGAAGAGGAAGGCAGATTGCTGTGAGTTTGAGGTAAGCCTGGTCTACAAAGGGAGTCCAGGACAGCCAAGGCTACACAGAGAAACAAAACAAAACTAAACAAAACACAAGGATCATAAAAAAAATGAGTGTGCATTATAATCACATAAAGAACCTATGAAAATGCAGAAGGCTGGGCCCAAACCACAGCGTCTGGATGAGAAGGTGTCAGTGGTCCATGGGTTTTTATTTCTACCAGGCAATGTTGGTGTTACTGGAGTCCAGAAAACAGAATGGCTATAGCAATTATACCATAACAAGGGCAAATTATATACATTCTTAGAACCACATTCTTAATTTGTAGGGCTGGTGAGCTAGCTCAGTGGGTTATGTCATTTGCCACTAAACCTGATGACCCCAGTTAGATCCCTCAGGTCCACATGGTGGAGAGAACCAAGTTCTGCAAAGCTGTCCTCAGACCACCACATGCACACTGTGGCATGTAAGCCACAAATACATAGATGCAAAATGTTTTTGAAGATTAGTTTGTGTGTGTGTGCATGAGGAGGGGAGGCATGCATCGCCACATCATGTGCCACAACCTGCAAGAGTCGGTTTCCTCCCTCCTCTACGGGGGTCCTCAGGTGGTTAGGTTTGGTAGCGGGCACCTCTACTCACTAAGCCATCTTGCCAGCCCCTCTGTGTTATCTTTTATAGTAATTGGAATTAGAAACTTATAGACTTCTCAAGTGAGACTTTTATGTTTTGATGTGTGCGAACAAGGGTGTATGCACATACGTGTGCAGGTACATGCCTATGCATGCAGAAATCAGAAGTCCTCCTCTATTGTGTTCCATCTATATTCCCTTGAGACAGGATCTCTTGGTGAATCTGAAGTTCACTATTTTTCTGCCATGCTAGCATCCGGTAAGCCCCACTGAACTGTTTGTCTCCATCCCATCCCCTCCAGCACAGGGTTGCAGGTGTGTGCAGCCATGCCCAGCTTTCTATATGGATACCAGAATCCAACTCAGGTTCTTGTTCTTGTAGAGAAGTGCTTTTAACCCCTCGAGCCATTTAAAACAGTTTACATAACTCACATGAAGACAGTAAATCTCAATGTACATGTTTGTGTGTCCACACACATATACTTGAGTTACATTGACTAGCCCCAAGTTTTAGGGTATACATTTTCTATATCTGATACAATTTTCAATGACTGTATCTTGCTTTCACATAGTGAATGAAGTTATTATAATATGTGCTGTTCAGTGTTTTATGTTTAAACTATAAGCAACAGAACCCATCCAGAATTTGCCTTTCTCTTGTTATTGCTTACACCTAAAAACATGTAGCAGGAAAGAGAGCCACTGGCCACTCAGAACTCAAGTTCTTGGGCTGAACTTCCTAAACTTGAACCCAAGCTCTGCCATTCAATTGGAAAAACTTCTTAATCAACCTGTATGTTAATTTTCTTATTTGTAAATGGGATGTGATCATAGCACCTACACTGTAAGACTCTAATGAGTTTATAAAGTAAATGGAATACATACTAGAGATTAGGCTAGAAGTGTAGCTCAACACAGTATAAACCAAGTGTGGTGGACACCACTACAATCTCAGCACTAGGGAGGTAAAGGCGGGAGGATCAGAAATGCAGTGTCATTCTCAGAGAGTGGGTTTGAGGCCAATCTTGTCAACCTATCTCGATAAGCAGCCAACCAACCAAATATTACCGTGTGTGTTCTAAAGCAGCTTCCAGTTACTAGTAAAATAATCAGTTATGGTCTTGTCTAGATTTGGATGTGTGGAGGCCAACTCTTCATACTTCCTTGCTCTCGTGTTGGACATATCATTAAGACACAGAATAAAAATAATCTTGGATTCAACAAAGCCCTTTCAAAGAACACACTGCGAGTGGCTCATGTCTGGCTGGATGAATACAAGGTGAGCAGTGCTTCAGATTTCGGAGAGTACTTCCTGGGCTGTTCTCAATACTCCGCCCCCTTTCCAGATCCAAACTGTATTCGTTCCTGTTTTTTTCTAAGTTAATGGAGAACCTTCAGTTTCCCACCCAGTCATCACCAATCCTGCTCTCAAGTGCTTGTTCTTAAGTAGCTGTTTTTCAATTTGTTTTTTAAGTTTTAATTTTAGGAAAATTCCAGTTTCTCAGAAGTAAAGAACCTGCAGTCTTTCTCCCACAGCTAGATCTATTTATCCACGGGGGAACTACTCTCCCCACCACTGGCAGAGAACACCCCCATCCCTGCTGTGGCACCAGGAGCTGATTCTTCAGGTTTTCCTACCACGCCACTACCTGTTTCCTAGGAGGTGTGGCTACAGGTCTTCTGCTCACATGTAAATTCCTTTTCTATCAACAGTCAAAGATTTCTATTGCAAGCTATGCCCCTTGATGATGTCTGTCCTGAGGGTTAAACCCTTGCTGTGTTCTCTAAGAGCACAACTCTGTCTAGGTAAGACAGTCACACGGTAGGTCTCTCAAAGTGTGTCCTATTCTTTATCTCATGTTTCTGCCCCAGCTTACTTTTCTGTTGCTGTGATAAAACACTGACCAAAAGCGACTTGGATGAGGGAAGTTATTTCTCTTACACTTCCACATCACAGACCATCATCCAGTGATGCCATGGCAGGAAGTCAAGCAGAGACCGCAGAGGAAAACTGCTTACTGGCTTGATCTCCATCACTTCTTCAACATGCTTTCTTACACAACTCAGGACCAGCTGCGGGATGGCACCAGCCATAGTGAGCTGGACCTTCCTCTAACAGTTAGCACTCAAGCAAATGCCCCACATGCAAATCTGATGGAGGCAATTCCTGTCTGGAGTCCCTCTTCCTAGGTGATTCCAGTTTGTGTCAAGGTGACAAAAACTAGTCAGCAGTTTTTATAATTCAAAAATTTTAATTAATCGTGTATCTCTCCTAATCTAACATATTAAAATTATATTGTTTCAAATTATGTATTTCCTTTACATTTGTTAATTTGTTGTATGCTTAGCACACCTGCATGTGTGCCATGGTGCACATGTGGGAGGTCAGGAGACACCTTATGAGTCAATTCTCTTCTTCTACTATATGAGTACTGGGGGGATGAACTCAGGTCATCAGGTTGGGTGGCAAGTATGTTTACCTGTTCAATATCAACACTGCAAAAATAAATTCAAGGTCACTCATAAAGCCAGTGTTGATGTGTGCAGTGTTGATGGTCCCTTTCCCCCATACTTGTGAATTCTAGTCATAGATCTAGGCAATTGAATTGAACACTGTAGTTGCCAAGCGACTACGTCTCATAAAGGATGCTCTGGCTAGCTAATTTAAAAATACATAATGTGAACCAAGTGTGGTAGGACACACGTGTAATGCCAACACGTAGGAAGCTGATGCAAGAGAGTTATGAGTATGAGGCTGGTTTTGGGTACAGGCTGAGGTCATACTTGAAAAGTTACATATAAAACAAACAGATTGTATCAAACTACAGCATGGTACAAGAGAAGGCTTTGCAATGGGGAGGTTTACCCAGGCCGTTACTTCTTCAAGATGATGGCATCTTCCCCTGCTTTTAACTATCCACCCTGGGAAGCAGGTGGCAAAAACTTACAATACTTAAGAATCCTCAGGAAAAATCCAATATAGCATGTACACACCACAGTCATTTTGCTAAGGAAACCCCCTCTTTCACTTAACACTGTTGCTATCCTGTGTGGAAACAGGATAATACACAGATTAAAAACACAAGGGTTCTGAATTAAGAGAGAAGGAACAAGGAATCTGGCCTCATCCTTAACATTTAGATCAGAACACATTAAATAAACAAAAAGCACCAAAGGCTGGGGACAGGGCTCAGTTGGCAGATCACTTACCTAGCATGCAGGAAGCCATGGGTTCCATCCCCAGTTCCTCATCAACTAGGTATGGTGGTATACACCTATAGTCATAGCGTTCGGGAGGCAGAGATGATTTAGAAATTTAAGGCTAGCCTCAGTTGTAAATGGGTTTAAGGATAAATTTTAGAGCCTGTCTTGAAGTACAAAACAAGACAAAATAAAAACTAAGCAGCTAGGGAGTAAAGAGCTGTCTCAGTGGTTAGGAGCACTTGGCTGCTCTTCCAGAAGACCTGGGTTCATTTCTCAGCACCCACAGGGCAGCTCCCACCTGTCTGTAACTCCAGTTCCAGGGCTTCTGATACTCTCACACACACATGCATGCAGGCAAAACTCCAATGCACATAAAATAAAAATTACAATAATAAACAACTAAGCAGCTGTGGTCTAAGAAAGGACCAGTAAAGACCTAACACCCCCCCCACACACACACACACACACCAGCCTGTTTTCTCATGGACTTTGCTTGCAGGGTAAATGCTCAGTCTTCACATCAACCTCATGAAGAAACTTGCCCGCAGTCACAGGGAATTGATAGCAAAGCCACGAATGAGCCCCAAGCTGTTTAGCCAGAGTACTTTTAATTTTGTTACACCATACCAGTTCTGGAAGTGTGGAGGTGTTGATGGAGTGCAGGAAACTAAGTCTCTGAGTGAGTACAGGAGAAAGAAGCCCCTGGAATGGGAAACTGTGCCTTTCCGTCTCCTAAGAAACAGGACCCAATCTTCCTGGATCCCACTGTGTTAGCCATCACAGTGTCATGGTGGATATCATGATGGTACTGGGATCAGAGCTGAGGCTGAATGTTCTTATTCCCTGCGTAGAAGCGTTATGTGACACTATTCCTGGGGATATGCAAACAAACATCTACTCGCCCCAGAGAGGGGATAATAACAGATAAAAGCAGAGATTCCACTGGAGTACAGCTTCGTGAACCATGGGTGAGTGAGGGGTAACTTACAGGAGTAGAAATGACTCAAAGATAACTGAATCACCAAGAGCCCACCCCTGGGGCTCTAGAAATGACTCAGTGGTTAAGAGTCCTTGCTGCTCTTCCAGAGGTCTTGACTTTATTTACCAGTACTCAGATGACACAGCTCACAACTGCCTGTAACTGCAGCACCTGGGAAGCTGACACCTTCTTCTGGCCTCTACAGGGAATATACTTGTGTGTACAAACCCTCATACTGACACAAAATTTGATTTTTAAAAAGTCCATTTGAGCATGTGTGATAGGTCATAGAAGCTAGGAACCTGGAGCATGCTAAATAACCTCTAGGCAGCTCAAAATGTTAGTCTTTTCTAGGGTCTAGGGAGTTCAGGGCCGACTTGAAGCAGATGAACAATTTTTGCTGGTCTTTGCTTCTTCCAGGCTTCTCGACTGATCTGAGCAAGCCTCTTCTAGGCAACTCAGCTTGCCTGAGAGTCTCAGCAGTCTTTATTGCATGTACATAGGTATGTGTACACACACACATGTACACACGCACGCACACACACACGCTTGAAGATGGAGAGGCCTAGTGAATCTGGTCATTTTCAGGGACTTCCCGAGGCTATTGAATTGTTTATTTGTTGAGCTTAATCAGCTCCCTGAAGGATAGAATGTTGCTCTACGTCCTTTTAACAACTTGTCTTAAAATATCACCTCCCCTCTTAACATCCTGTGTCTTACCAAGCTTTCCTAGAAGATGGGGAGCTTTTAATCTTACAGAAAACTGCTATATAACAAGAGGAAAGAGGATTTTTATTTCAATGATTAAAACATGTCCTGATGTTTGCTATCATGACCTGTTACCAAAAATTTGTTTTGTTTAATAAAATGATTCTTTGTTTTCATTTAGGAAAATTTTTTTCTTCAAAGACCTTCTTTGAGATATGTATCCTGTGGAAACATTACTGAGCGTGTTGAATTAAGAAAACGACTTGGTTGCAAGTCATTCCAGTGGTATCTGGATAATGTCTTTCCAGAGTTGGAGCCATTTACACAGACTGATGAAAAAGATAAACAATCCTTTTCCTTAATAAAAGGATGAAAAAGTCCTTTAGTTCTTCAACATATTGGCACCACAGGACAAATTTGGAACATCAGAGAATTATGTGAAATGCAATTAAAAATACAATCAGAGTGGCCAATCTCTCAGAAGTGCCTTTCTCTACCTTTAGTGACAATTCTTCCTTTGTTGCCCTCTGCCACTGGGGTTCTGGGCATAAAGACCTTGGTATTAAAAATGTAAGCTATCTCAGAGTTCAAAGCCTGGTATATGACTGACCCAGAGAGAGTATATTGCTTGTGATTATTTGACCAATTCACTCAGCTGTGATGGTCCATAGGAAGCTGCTCTGCTCTTAGAGCCCTCACCAGTCTAAGGAGCTGGCATGGGTTACCTTAGGGAAAGTGTTCACAGAGAGCCATGATTGCTGTATAGTGGCTGCGTTGGATCAAGCTCCTTTCTTGCAACCAGTGTACAGTCTAGGGCTGCCTCCTGGCTTGGTTTTGGTTCCTAAGTGTCTGATGTCCAAGTCACCATGGCTAGGTGTCTCAGTTAAGTTCTCCAGGCAGGTTCCCCATTTGTTCCTGTTGGCCTTTCTGTCCTGAGCCACTGTTCTTTTCTGCATCTTTGTATTTTCATGTCTGTGCCCTCTGTCCTCTGGCTTGTGACCCACAGCTTTCCTGATACTTCTTGAATTATGCCCTGTTGTTTTCTAACCAGCTGTCAGTGTGCAGACAGGTGGCTGGCTCCCTGCCTGCCATGCCCACAGACTCCTCAATGCCTAAAAAGTGCTTTTTTGGAGTTTAAGGAATGCTGTAGGGTTCAACCTGGTGAAGGTGAGTTTAAGAAGGCCAAAGAGTAATTCATAAACTCTATAAAAAATGAGGGAAGAAACACACTGAAAGGCCAAAAAAGGAGATATCTGACAGGATTGCAAAACATAGCCAATGCAAACATAACCTAGACCAGTTTCCTCATCACTACCATAAAGTTTCCAAGGGGTTTCTAGCAGGATTAAGCATCCAGAATGCTCACTGTTGTCCTGTGTTTTGTGAGCTTCACCCATTTTAAATAATAGGTGAAGTGTGTAATCTTCATTATCACTTTGACGGGATTTGGAATCACCTAGGAGGCATACCTGTTCTGGGCATGTCTTTTTTTGTTTTGTTTTGATTCTTGATCCTTTTTTTGTTGTTTGTTTTTTGTTATTGTTTTGTTTTTTTGTTTTGTTTTTATTGTTGTTTTTTTGAGACAGGTTTTTTTTTTTGTATGTGTGTAGCCTTGGCTGTCCTGGAACTAGGTCTGTAGACCAGGCAAGCCTCAAATTCACAGAGATCTGTCTCTGCAGAACTGGCATTAAAGACATGAGTCGCCACTACCCTGCTCTGGCCATGTCTTTGAGAGTGTTTTCCCAAGAGTTTTAGCTGAGTAGGAAGAACCCACTTGGAATGTTGGGTGGCCATAACACATGGAACAGGGACCAATTTCAATAAAAAGGAGAATGTAAGGTGAGCATCAGCCTCTGTCTGCCTCCTGGCATGAAAGCTGCCTTAGACTTCTGCTGCCATGGCTGTACCCTCAAATTAGGTGCCAAAATAAACCCTTAAGTTGCTATGGTCAAACACTGTCACACAAACAAGAAAAGTAACACACACATTTGTGTGTGTTATAGATTACAAGGGCAATCTATACTATTGCCCTTGCAAGAGGGGACCATCCCTGAAATAGCCACTAGTCCCAGTAAAGATGAACTGCTGTGTGAACAAGATTGGAAACTAGGAAAGATACTCTTTTTGGCCCTGTTACAGCAACTGTTTGACTGAGGGCAATGCATGTAAGGACACAAGTAAGGGTCATTAGGACCTCAGTCCTGTGGAGAGACCTAGGTAGGATCACTTAGCATCCTACACCCTGACAATACTAGTAGATATTTGGCAGGGCCAAATATTTGTACCACTGTGACCACAACTTAAAAGGAAAAAAATATTTTGACTTGTGGTTGCTGAGGGTTCATTGCATAGTCGCATGGGCCGCTGCACTTGGGCAGAACATCAGGATGACAGAAGTATGTGGGGAAAGTTGTTTACTACATGATAGACAGGAGGCCCAGAAGGAGACTTGGACCACTGGACCAGGTAAGAACCTCAAAGGGGCATCCCCTGGATCCTCCTTCCTCTAGATTGGCTCCACCTCTTAAAAGTCTCCAGAACCTCGGGAACTCATACCACCAGCAGGCACCAAGCTCCACACATAAGCTTGTGGGGGACACTTCAAGTCATCACAGCCCGTTAATGAAGAAGGAATGTGTCCTGAGTTTTACTGCGAGCTAAAACGGTTCATTAATTTGGTTCATGTGATGCTGTTTTCTTAGAAATAAGGGACACAAAATTTTCTCCCTACATATGCCAGGTTTCTCTACTAGACACCACGAGACAAGGGTTTAACATTTTTTAGGGTACCGACTCTACAGCATTTACTTCTGAGATGACGGGATTAAAATATTTAGATATCCGTCACTGTAATGCAGCATTACTGGACCATAGGCCAAAACCTTACCATTCTGTTAGAGCTGCTAAATTCCCTCTAGCCCCGTTGTGCTTTTTCTCACATTCTTCCCGTGAGCAAGTCGTCGTCCCCCTCTCTCTCTGGAGTGACGGTCAACTTCACTGACAGGAAAGCACTGAGGCCCGGTGGGAAAGCGCTCAGCTCCACGCTAGGCGGGGAGGAGCCGGGGCCGCGTGACGCTAGGCCGGGGCGGTGACGTCACCGCGGAGGCGGGGGAGTACGTGCGGTGACGCGAGCAGTGGCGCCCGCTCCGCAAAGCTGCGTGTCCTGGGCCGTGTCGCGCGCCTCGGCTCGTGCGGCTCGGCCCGGGCTGTGGCGGGAGCGACGATGCCACGGCTCGTGTCCCGGAGCGCCGCCATCCCGGCCTGCGGGTGTCGCGGTGAGTAGCCTGCCCGCGGCGCTTGACCCCGCGCGGCCTCCGTCGGCGCCGGAGCGTGGGCTGCGGCCTGAAGCGCTGCGGCTGCTGGAGCTGACTCGGTGGCCTGGGAGGCCCGAGCTGCTTCCGGCTTCCACCGCAGTGATGGGCACTGCACGGGGCCGAGCGCCGGGTGGCCGTAGCCCCCCAGGCGGTGTTGTGATTTATGGAAAAAATACTGGTTTTTATCATTATTGCTGTTATTACGGTCGGTCTATGCGGGTCAGGATTTAGACCGCGTCTACACCGGAGGCTAGAAGACAGAAAGGATGCTTGTTAAAGAAACTGCCTTCCATAGTTTCCACACCCCAAACTAATGCATTAAATATAAAAACAGCAAGCCCCGCCCCTTTCTGCTACCTCTCCCCCTGTGATAAAAATATTGGCATGCTTCATTTTTCCTATCAAAGATTAGGTTTAGTCCTTTTACTTTATTGAGAGCTATCGTGGTCATGTTGATTGGTTGGTTATATTTAAACATCAAATGAGACTAGAGACACTTTCTAACAAAATAGTATTACTTCGCACAACAGGAGCAGGCGAAGCATTCTAATAAATCCCCTTTCTTTATAATTTGAAATTATAAAGAAAAAAATTTCTTTTTTAAATTTGAAATACTGGTTTAGGAAAAATAGGAAATAACCCTTTTTTACCCTAAGTATGTGTTTGCCACAGAGCTCTTCGAGTGAAATATCAGCAGAGTAGTTCATGCTTCTTTTGGACAACTGCCCTGCAATGTTTGTTTGTTTGTTTGTTTGTTTGTTTGTTTGTTTAAGACAGGGTTTCTCTGTGTAGTCTTGGCTGTCCTTGACTCATTTTTGTAGACCAGGCTGGCCTCAAAATAACAGAGATCTGACTGCCTCTGCCTCTCTGATTTACAGGGAGGGACTACAGGCCTGCACCACCATGCCTGGCTTTGCCCTGCAAATGTATCTAATATTCCTGTGCTGTGTCTTGCCAGGAGTTTTCCTTCGAAGTTTTATACTACTATTTTTCCTGCGTAGCATGAAGTTTATTGTTTTAACAGTGTACTTGAATGGCACCGAGTACATTCACAGTGTTGTGTTACTGTCAGTGCTGTATATTTCCAGAATAGTTGTGTCACTCCAGATAGCACCGTACCGTTAGGGAAGGGACTCCTTCAGTCTCTGAATTTACCTGGTTTAAGCACATCATCGTTAAGTGGAATCCATGGTCTTTCCTTTCATCCATGTTTGTGTGTGTCTCTTTGAGGCCTCGTGTTGGCTATTCTTGGTTGTCAGCTTGAGTACATCTGGAATTAACTAAAACCCCCAAATGGCCGGCACACCTGTGAGAGATTTTTGCTTAATTAAATCATTTGAAGTGGGTAGAGCCAGTTCTAAACTATGTCTTGGAAGGGAAGATCTGCCTTTAATCTGGACCACACCTTCTGATAGCAGTTTAGATAAAGGGAGTGGGAGAAGGAGGCTCTCTCTCTGCCTGCTTGCTTTCACCCTCACTAGCAAGTCCTTTCCTTCGCTGGCTTCAGAGCCTACTTCTTCAGGATTCCAGCCCACCCGATGAGACATCCAGCCTAGTGAACTGCTGGATTCTTGGACCTTCCTTTGGTAGACAGCCACTGTTGGATGACTTGGACTGCAGCCTTGTAAGTCATTCTAATAAATCCCCTTTCTGTAAATATGGAGAAATCCGTCTGTAACTTCTGTTACTCTAGAAAACCTGCTTTCATTCTTTGGAATTGGTCAGTTCATAATTGAAAAGCCTCTGCTTTGGAGGCTTTACCTGTACTGACTGCTGACTCTGAGGGCTCCATCTCAGCACTTAAGCTGACTGTTCCACTCCGTAACCTTTGTGGCGCTTCATATGGCTTGTCAGCACATCCTCTGGATGTTCCTTGGGACCCTTTCATAGGTTCTTTCTCTCCAAAGTTCAGTGTCCTAAAATTCAGTATGTGCTTTGTGTACCTGTTCTCCCTTATTTACTTAAAGCTCCTCTGTACCAGTTTTCATGTAACTTAAACTGTAATTCCCATGAATCTGTGTGAGGCCTGGATTCCAATGTGAAGTCATCTTCCTATCTTGAGTGTAACATCTCTAAAACCAAACTCACTCCTAACTCTTATTCTGTGTCATCAAGACTTGAAAGGTTGGTGCTATAGTCCCTTTTCCCTTAGGGGTGCCCTTCATGCTAACCAGTATAGATAGTTGGCCTGTGCTCTACCTTCCCACTCAAATTTTCACAGCCCAAGGTCAAGCCAAGA